GGGATAAGAATTAATACAAGCAATATGCAAATAAAACCAGTTTCAAAAAGGATTTTATGTACCAAATCCCCATTGTGGGCATAGATGTATGTTATAATAAACATTTCTAATTTAATCATCTCAAAAGCAGATTGTTTCATTTTTATTTATTTACAAAGTGGTCAATGGTTTAGCAAAATTCCCCAAAAGAAAAATGTTTGCTTCACTTTTTTTGTGAAAGAGGCTTTTTTGTTTTTCAGTATTCAATAAAAATAAAATTACATTTCTCACATGCTGAAAAATTGCCAAAACAAGTGAAAGCAAATGTTGACAAAAATACTTACCAGTTTTACCCACCACTACCTGCCACCTTTCTACAAGGCCATGTCTCCCATTATGCCAAGCGGACCCTGAATTCAGATTCTTAAATCCTCACCATAGTTCTTCTGCCTCCTTCTGTGCTTGCTGCCTGGCTCGCTCTGCTATTAGCTCCTCTGATATCTGTTCATAGGGCTTGTCACCTGGTGCTTCTCCCATAACCCAGACCCAGACCTCACCATCCTTCCCACGTAGCCACTGCACATGTTTGCCATTACCTGCAACAGCCAGAACAAACCAAAAGGATAAATATTGGCTCAAATTCTTACGTTAATATAGATGAAAGGATGGCAACCTGCAATTTAGAAATGTTAAGCCTGCAGTTTACAACTCAGAATAAAACATTACCAAGAGGTTGGATGATGTCTTCAGATTTGACCAAGCTACCATGGTGGGGAAAAAGAAGGGTTTGTACACTCCAGGTCACACAGTCTTTAAAGACTGATTGTCCCTCAAAAATAAGGAATTAATTCTGACATGCATTTCCCAGAATTTAGGTATTATGATCTCTTTTTAATTGTTACAAGTATATTTTCCTGCTTCACTCATCAAGGGATGAATTAAGAGAATGGGAAAAGAGATGGAGTGACAACAGTAACCAGTGACATTATGTGACTAGCAATGCTTCAGCACACAGAGAATGTTGAACGTAGAGCATATAGAAACTTCATCAGAGCCCCTGCAAAAAATCCAGGAATTTCCTGCTCCCAGTGTGTGAAGGAGAAGTTTCAGAAAGCCTGCATACTCAGAGCACACCACTCAACACTGCAGAGGCTTTTCTGTTCTGGTACAGCAATTGAAAGGGATTAAGTTTCTGGTTCAGTTTTAATGAAAAACACTGTGCAAAAATCTACGGTAACTGTTGACAGAATGATTTAAAAAAAAAAAAGAGCCTGAGTGCTTTTTACAAAACAGACAAAACAGACTACATTTTATGGACCTT